TCTTCGCACGGGCAGCCCGTGCGTTGGCCAATTATTTGAAAATGACTCAGCTGTTCAATGAGTAATATTCTCGCCAAAAATTTAAGTACCCGTAAACGAGAACGACGCATATATGTAGACTGAATTTGAAACCTTAAGTTGTATTTGGACGGGGAATATTCTTCCAAAACCTCAGCTTTCCAGCTTTTCTAGTTTCCGAGTTAGCCATTTTCCCGCCAAAAAATTTTACGGGGCCGTATGTGAGAACTACGCACGACTCGGGGCTGAATTTGGTAGGTTCATGTTATACTTATGCTGGGAACATTCCTCGGAAATTTCAGCCTCCCAGGTTTCCTGGTCCCAAAGTTAACCATTTTTCCGCCAAAACAGCTTCACGAGGCCGTACGTAAAAAACGCAATGCCAGGCTGAATTTCATAACTTTATGCCGTACACCGGGAAAATGATTAACTCGGGAACTAGCATAGAAAGCTGAAATTCTCAGGGGATGTTCCCAGCCAATGTACAACTTAAAGTTATGAAATTCAGCCCGATTTATCAATTTTCCCGCCAAAACTTTCACCCCTCGTAAGCGGGGTTGGTACCGCGGTTCTGGGGTGGCCCATGGCCGGGGAAATTTTGGCGTTGGAACTTGCTTGATTGCCGAGTTGAAATACCAGGATAGACGAACAAACACACACACAAACATACACACACAGGGTCGTCGCAATATGCGTTTTGAAATTTGCATATAGGCATAAACGCATAAAAACCATTGGGCTTCATGCCCAGTTGTCAGGCTACAGCGCAGAGATCACTCCTGCTATTAACGATCTGCGAATTTCGTGGAAAAAAATATGATCGCACCGGTAAGCCTGGTGCGTTCCAACCTGGGTTGCTGCCCGTTGTAGCGCTTTAGCGCTGCACCGCAAAAACGAATAAGAATCACTAGCATGGGACACCCAGACCGATCGACCGGGAGATATTGGCACACTTTTAGCACTTTGGTAGTTTTCAGACATTTTAAATACCAAAGACGTACGGTACAACCGGTGCTTCTATTTCGAAATTCAGCTGTAAAGGAAACCCAATAAAGCGACGCATAAAAACTCGACCAGAGGTGCCCATCCTTTCTATTCGAAGAACCCTAATTCCTTTGCACCTGTGATCGCAAGGAACTCAGCTAAAACTACATTCGTGACATTTCAAGTGAGCTCTTGTCAGTTTCAGTGGATTTGAATCATTCCCTTTTCATCACGTCACACCTCCATGTCAGTTTCTGCCCCACATAGTAATTCAGTTATAATGATACATCTCGGTACAAAATTATTTAAAACCCGCAAACCTTGGCATTCATCCATGAATTCCGCGGATTTTTGCCGCAGAGGCACAATTTTTGGTTGAGGTCTTTGACCTATTGAGCTCCTGGCACGCCGCTCTTCATGCGCTGTGCTTCCGTTCTGAATTATCTAATTAAATCCATCGGAAACTATATTCACCGATCATTCATACTTAGTACGCTGGGCAGCTGCTTCACAATTCATAGTTATTAAACAAAAAGCTTCAAGCCCCT